TTTTTTTTTTTTTTTTTTTTTTGGTAAAATCAACGCAATTACTAGAATATTTTTCTCTATTCAGTGTTAATTACATGACTAAATCTCTAATTCTTCGAATAGATGACAAATTTATAAGTAGGTCTTGATTTATACCGAAAAATAGGGAGATGCATTTAAGAAATTCTAAAAACATGCTAGTAGTAATTTTGATTAGACGACATTTATAAATAACTTTGTCGATTGTGGATAATGTGCATTCACTAATAAAAATCAAGCATAATATACCTAAAAAAGGTATACAAACTATTAACTGTTTCATTTAATTTAGCAAAATATTAGGGAAGATGCTATGTCCCGTTACGGAACCATTCCGTCGAGGTTTGTAACCGTGATATCAACTATTCCTGACTGCTACAAATTCCCACGAAATAGTTTCGTAACGGAACCGTATCATTTCCTATAGTTAGTTAATTGATTTTTTTGTAGTACCCAAAGTTACTAGACAAATTTACCGGACACATTACATATATAGTGCAATTTTGCCTTAATATTGTTAGTTATTACCATCGATCACGTGATAATGTTCTAGTGGGCCATGGGAATGATAAAGATCACGAGGGTTCAGTTCATATTTACGTTTCAGTACAAAAAGAGCGAATATTGCGATAAATGGAGGGGCAATTTGCCATTTATAGAAAATAAATTAGGGGTCTCTGCGCAAAAAGGAAAGAGATATTTACCAAAAGATGAGGGGCTGTCAATTAAATCCTGGAAAATTCCATACGCGTCGACGTAGATGAATCTGGCGTCCCGAGAGTTGCCGTTGAACTGGTCAACTAAGCCTCTCAATTTCCGGTTGAATATCTGATTTGCACTGTTGATTCTCTGCACGCAAGTGGACCCGTCCTGGCTGTTTTGGGCCAGAGCATTTGGGCTGCACCCGATTTGGCCCACTCCGATCAACACAAACTTCCTAGCCCCATAGTTGTACAAAGCCTGTAAAAATAATCCCAATTAGCTACAATTGTTTATAAGCGTGTAAAGTTTGACCAATCAAATCTGCTAATTAATTTGTTTGGTAACAAATTTATTTGATTAATTTTTTTCGACCAAAAATACTAATTTTGGTGAGTACATCGGCATATTTTTTAGCAAACATACTAATTTTGACGTACCCTGATTTGGTCGGAGTATTGTTGGATGAGTACGTCGGCATATTGCTCCGGTGAGTATTGGCGGCTGGTGGAGTAATATTGCGGCATGAAGTAATTGTTGAGATAGTCGTTGCTTCCGATTCCGATCGAATATATGCATTGGCTCAAGTAGTTTGCGGCCGAGTCCTCGTCGCCGAGTATGTCGACAACTTGCGAAACCGTGGTCTTGTAGTTGTTTACTTGTCCGGTGAAATCAATTCTAGCGCCCTAATGATAGTGTGTTAATCAGCATTGATCTTACTAAGTTCTTGTCTATTGATATTGAGAAATAGTTTTTTTTTTTTTTTTATTTCTTACTAGTTGTTGTCCGGTTTCTTGCCGGATGCCGGCGGCTGCCGATGCATAATTTACTCCTCGGAGTATTTGTTGCCCGCGGGCGCTTGAGTACGGCGGAATGTAATCGTCGAAACCTAAAAGCTCAGCTGCAAAAATGCGAAAGTATTGATTAGTTTCTTGAGTTCAAATTTGATCACTTGGGAAGAAAGATTTCCGAAAGGAGTTGCGCCCTATTCGTATCGAGCTGTTCGCGAAAACAACTCGGTTCGACTTGTGAAAGCTCGATCTCAGAACAACTGAACGAGTTGATTCAAGTTCATACACGAATAACTAATTTATTATGTTTGTATAGGTTAATTTCGATCGAACAACTGAGTTGAGCTTAATTAAACTAGTCCGAGTTGAGTCAGGCCTCGGACACAAAGTACTCAGCTCAGCTTGGCTCGAATAACACCTCTAGTTCGCCTAGACATAATCATTCTTCATATGCTTCTACTAATTAACAATTGCTTTTATATATTTATGTTAGTCAAAAGCTATAAAAAAAAAAGTAAGGGTAGAGTTAGCAATTATATAGGTTAATATCTACTATTTTTTAAGTGCTAATTATTATATATACGTACCAATTACATCGACCGTAGTCTTGCCGTTGGAAAATCTACCGGTGGGCCCATCAGGAAAATCGATACCATAAGGCAAGTAATTGGCTCGGGCCAACGATTGAATGTTGTTGTTATTGCCATTGTCGACCAATGAGTCGCCGAATATGAAGTAGCACGGCACTTGAGGCTGCGCCACAATCGAAACCGTCGATAGGGCCGTCGCTACCAAGAACAAAATCGACCATTTTTCGAACCCACTGCCCATTATATTGTGTATATATATAGATAGCTATACTCCAAACAATGTAGTTGTAACAATAAAGGAAATTATAATTGTAAAGGGAATGTGGAGAATGATAAAGGGAAAGATGAGAATGTGATTTAATTTAAGGCATTGAGTTACGGGTATATATATATTTGAAATTTTGGGATGAAAATGGTTTAAAAATAAATAATATTTGAACAGATAGGAGTTAGATGGGTGCATTTAATTTCACGCGGCTATAATTTGCGAGGTGAATGTGACCTGGTCTGTATTAATTTCATGCTGGTTTATATTATGTTATATATACTGGAAAGTTCATAAGTGAACAAAAGTTATCTTGCTTACTATGACATATATAAAAAGTGTTGGGACAAAATGGTTCAAGTGTCTCAAATTTATTCACAATGTGTCTAATGATTAGGACTAAGGAGTCGGTAGTTTTATAGGCTATGTTTGGTAAAACTAGTTGATAAGTTATCTGATAGCTGATAAGCTAGCTTATAGCTTATCAGTAATTTTCGAGCTTATAACTTATAGCTTATGACTTATAGCTGAAAAACTAGCTTATATGATAAAAGTGTTTAGTAAAATTAGCTGATAAGCTAGCTGAAATAAAAAATTCAACTAGCTTATTTGAAAAACTACCTAAAAAAATTTATCAAATACGCTCGAGCTTTTTAAAAAAGCTCGTCCTACAAAACAAGTCTTATTTGAATACATGGAGCTTATAAGCTTACCAAATAATTTATAAACTAGCTTATTTGTCTACAAAAAATAGTAAACTTACATATTTTCAAACTCAAATTTGTACTTGAAAATACAATATACTATTTTACATTCGATTTGATTCCACTTGACATGAATAAATAATTCTCCATTTCCACCTGCGAATTAGGGGTGAACAACAGTTCAGTGAAAAATCACACCGAATCACAAAAAATCAAAAACCGAACATAACGAAAAAAATAAGTGAACAATACCGCAACTTGGAAAAAACCGAACTGAAACTGAACCGAAATTTTTTGCACTAAATAACCGAATCGAACCGCACTGAAATGTATGGTTCGGTTTGATTTTCGGTATTTTTCTCAATTTCTCTACACCATTTATTTAATTTGGTGAGGTTTGTTGCAAAACCGCACCAAACCGAACAAAACCGAAAACCGCACTGCGCCGCAATATAAAAAAAAATACCGAACCCAAACTGGGCCGAATTTTTTTACCTAAAAAACCAAACCGAACCGTACTCGATTTCGGTTCGATTTTCGGTTTCGGCTCAGTTTTGCTCACCCCAACTGAAAATAGTCCAAATAAAAATAAAATAAAATAATAATAGCAAGCCAAAGTTATTAATTAGTGGAATGACAGTTGACTTATAATGCCATGCAGCTAGCAAAAAACTACTGCATTGAATGTCCATAGACAAAGCCTT